TTTAATCAAGAAAGGACTTGTATCGCTGAAGATCCTCAGAAAGAATTTCTACAGGAAACAACAAACACGCAGATATGTAACAAATTGGTGTCAGAGAGTGGGACGGAAAAGAATAAAAAAAAAGATGGAAATGAGAAGTAGCAAATCAAAATACGACTTAGCAGATTTGATGGCAGCAACACAAGAACAGCAAAAGAAACGAGAAAATAAACAAGAAAAGAGACTACAGCAGTGGTTGGAGGAGAAAGAAAAGAAACATGAAGATAGATAGCAGCAGTTGTTGGAGGAATAAGAAAAGAAACAAAAACAACGAGAAAAGAAACAAGAAGTGAGACTACAGCAGTGGTTGGAGGAGAAAGAAAATAAACACGAAGAGAGACTACAGTAGTGGCAAGAAAACCAGCACCAGTGGCAACTGGAACAAAAAAGGAAACAAGAAGGAAGTCTCCAACAGTTGCGGGAAAGTCAGCAACAACTACAGGAAAGTCAGCAACATCAGCATGAAGTACAAATGGAAAATATTAGTAAATTTCAAACTGAATTAAATACATTAAAAGACGATTTCCTGTCTTTTACATAGGAAGGATATATTAGCCATGGACCTAATAAGCCCCAGACAACAGGAAGCCCCTTCCAAACCCCGCAGCTAAACCCTAATGCAGACATCTTCAGTCCAACCAGAAGTCACATTCCAGACATGAGTGTCAGCAATAGGGGTGATCTAGTACGAAGGAAGCCACAGGAATTCGATGAGAAGGCACCATGAAAAGCATATAGAGCACAATTTGAGCTCCTAGCAGAAATGAATGGATGGACAGAGGAGCAGAAGGCAGTGTACCTAGCAATGGGCCTGAAGGGACAACTGGAAATACTTGTACAGTTGTCAGTAGACAACAGACACAACTACAAGTACTGGTAGCTGCTCTAGAAATCAGGTGTAGAACTCAAAATCAGTCCAAAGTCTAAAGGGCTAAGCTTAGGACGAGAGTCTCTGCTAAATGGGAGAGCCTGCAAGAGCTGGCACAGAATTTGGAAAGTATGGCACACAAGACCTACACAACTGCACCAACCAATGTCCTCATGCTGTTGCTGAGTGATCAGTTTGTAGACACCTTGGACAGTCCACAAATGAAGATACAAGTGAGGCAAGCACACCCCTCTACTATGCAGGATGCAATGGCCAGATCTCTTGAATTCAAATCCTAGTACAGAGGTACCAAGGTTGGTACAGTCATCAGGATTCAAGGCCAGAAAAGGACAGCTTTCAGAGAAGTTTGAAGGACTTTGCTGGCACTGTCACAAACCTGGGCACAAGAGAGCTCAATGCTGGAAACTTCAACACAGGGAAGATGCCATGGCAGGAAATGCTGCTACCCAGAAAGGATGTTGGAACTGTGGAGAGCAAGGACATATGAAGAGCCAGTGTAAAAAGAATACTACCAATAAGTCAGCCTCAAGGAGACCAGTAGTGGTTGGTGTTGAGGGATGCCCACCAACCCCCATTGTAAAAGTCCCAACAACTAAGCATAAAATGGCAAGCACACATAACGTCTATGTGACAGGAAAGCTGGATGGCCAAAAGTGCAACTTTGTCATAGATTCTGCATCTCAGCAAACTCTTGTGAGTATCAAGATGCTGGATCACAAAGGAGTACCAGAAGCCATACAGAAGTTCTATGGTGTGACAGGACATTCTGCAAGGTTGTGGGGACCAGAGTAGGTAACTATTGAGCTCATGGGCATAAAAGACAGACACAAAGTATACTTAGCTGAAATTGAAGACCAATGCATATTAGGGTTGGACTACTTACTACCGAGGAAGTATGTAATTAATTTTGATAAAATGACGTTTCGGAACAACAAAGGCCAAATCTGGTAAATGTTGCTGCATCTGTTGATTTGCATGTCACAGCACTTAAATCAACTACAATACCCCTATGTCAGAGAAGATAATTTGGGGTAGAATAAAAGAACATTCCTTGTGGAAGCAGTGGAAGACCCATCCAGGCCAGCAGACGTGAATAATAGAAGGTCACTTTTGGCAGGTTATCAAGTAGTACCCATAACAGTGGCTAATTTTTCTAAATGTGAGCAGACACTTAAGGAAGGGGCATTGTTGGGTTTGTGCCAGGAAGTAGAGCTAGTCAATGTTAAGGCAAGAAATACAACGACAAAGAAGGGACATCCTCCCCCAGAACATTTAATTGACCTCTATAAGAAGAGCATAGTCTATATTTCATCATCACAGGCTCTTCAAGCTAGAGAACTCTTGGCGAATTATGCAGACGTCTTTTCAAAAGGAGATCATGACCTTGGCTGCACAGACCTTGTGGAGCACAGAATAAACACAGGCAATCACCGTCCAATAAATATCCCTCCGAGGAGAATAGCTCCAGCAAAGCGACAAGAGATGGAGAAGGTCATAGATGGCCTAATTAAGGAAGGGATAGTCGAGAAATCAGATAGTCCCTGGTCAGCTCCCGTCGTGTTAGTCCAGAAGAAGGATGGGACCCAACGTTAGTGTGTGGACTTCAGGGCTCTTAACAGTATAACCAAAAAAGACTCATACCCACTGCCAAGAATTGATGATACTCTTGATGCTCTCAGTGGAGCCAAGTGGTTTTCAACTCTGGACTTAAAGTCGGGTTTCCATCAAGTGAAAATGGCTGAAACAGATAAACCTAAGTCTGCATTTAGTTATAGCCAAGGTCTTTTTCAATACTGTGTGATTCCATTCGGGCTTAGCAATGCTCCAGCAATATTAGCAATATTTGAGAGGCTGATGGAAAGAGTACTGGAAGGTCTAGAATGGAGGATAGCCCTAGTGTACCTAGATGATGTCATTGTGTTTCCAGCAACATTTGATGAAGAAGTATCCCAGCTAGAGGATGTATTCAAGCATTTGAAAGCAGCAAACTTCAAACTACATCCCAAGAAATACCACTTGTTCCAGAAAGAGGTGCTTTACTTGGGTCACATTGTAAGTGGGCATGGTGTGCGAACTGATCCTGACAAGGTGAAAGCAGCACATGATTGGCCAACATCAGACAATGTGGGAGAGTTAAAAAGTTTCTTGGGACTCTCTATCTATTACCAGAAGTTTGTGAAGGACTTTGCAACTATAGCTGTTCCACTACATGATTTGACAAAAAAATACCAGAAGTTCAAATGGACAGTTTCTTGCCAGCATGCTTTCAAGACATTGAATGAAAAATTGGCCTCAGCTCCACTTTTAAAGCTTACCAATCCCTCACAGCCATACATATCGGATTGCGATGCTAGTAATG